AGTTCAAGTCATTACATTCTCACTTAATCTAGTGATAGAGTGTAAGTGTTTTTCTTTGCTCTTAAATAGTGTTTGTGACAGCTTCAAGTACCGTACTGGTTTGTACACTGTAGATGAATATTGTAGATGAATACTCTAGGCATACATGAACATCTACTGACTTGGTTTATTGATATACACTGTACTTCAGTTTAAAGGTTATGGCATTGTACAATGTAATGTATGGAAGCACTTCTCAATGCTGCCCCTAGCCTTATAGATAGAACATTCTCATACACAAACTGATACAGAAATTCTAAATGCACTTCATACAAGGGGGAATGGGGAAGAGGGAAAAAGATGAATGAATGAAGAGCAATCGAAGAATAATAATAAGAAGAAGAAGCAGAAGAAAAAAGAGGAAGAGGAGGAGATATAGAATGAGGAGGAGGGTGGGGGGGGGGGGGAGGAGGAGGAGGAAAAGGTAAGATATAGGGGAAAAGACACTGGGTGAAAGGGAAGAAAGAGAGTTCAGATCAATACTTCCTAGTAAGACAGGAGAGGAATATATTAAATTCATAGATGGAGAGCAGAATGCCCACATGTATGGAACATAAATTGATCATCAATTTTCTCCATCGCTTGGCTCATCCACATTCCACATAGGAGCATACAGTACCTGTTCATTGTAAAGTATCGCTCTTTTAATCTAGGCTATGAAACTCAATGTCAATTAGTGTAGAAGTGGAGTTGGTATTTACAGTGAACCCATTACGCACTCTGATGATGGGCCGTGTACTTGACTTTTGACCCCCATCGTAAGCAAAGTTGGCCTTGATCCAGAACATCGTTAGTAGGAGGAGAATAGAGGGAGAGAAAAGGAGAGAAAGACAGACAGAGAGAGAGAGAGAGAGAGAGAGAGAGATGGGGGGGGGGGGGAGGAGATGGAGTTCCAAACTATAAACAAAATGATCATGTTTTACATAAAAGAAAAATTACATTTTAAAGAAACATGTGATGACTATTATAGGTATAATCACAATGCATAAGATACCGGTAATCAGTATCTCTTCCTGACTTGTTCCCTAAAATTACTTTACCAATCAAATCAAATATACCGATACGATTAAATTTGACTTGGTCTGACTTGTATATGTTAGTCATGAGTGATTTAAAAGAAAACTTTAGTGGGGGCACTCTATACAATATTCGGTCGTTTTGGTAAATGTACCCTGCATACATCTTCCTTTATCAGCAACATCATCATCTATCCATTATCACTCATCCATCATCATCCATCATTATCATGACATATTTATCAACATTTGTAAAAACAATTACTTTGGAGTTTGCTTCTAATGTTAATCAATCTAAGCAGTTTCGTTTACCGGTATTGTATTTGGGTAATAACATTTCATCACAAAAATTTTCTTACCGTACTTCTCCCCCTAAAAGGTATGATTAAACACCATGCAAACATTCCTTCAAAAGAAAATAATGTCATAAAAAAAGAAAAAGAAAGCAAAGTGCCAGAGGTTCTTTCTTAAACTCCCAGGCCAAAATAGCCGCTAGATACTACATGTATCTATTTTGTGTCCTGCATACTGATACATAACACGTGCATTGTTTGCGGAGTTAGAAGGATGCAAAGTCTCTTTAACATTTTACATCTGTAGAGATAGAGTTAAATGCCTTCTAGCCTTCAACAAATGAAAACAAAAATAACAATGGGCTTGCAATTATGAAAATTGAAATATACACGTACATGTATCTACATGTACGTACATGTACTGGTATGTACACAAGTTTCAACCTTCAAAATGCATTAGGATTGTTGTTATACTTTTGTTCGTACATGATTGGAAAATTTCTTGACTCGTAGCTGATGATGGATTGCTGTGGATAATGGATCCAAGTGTGTATTGGGAAACAATTTGTTCTCTCATGAAGGAAAAGAAATTTATGACAGAAATATTTATGAGTCCAGCTAGGGATTATGGTAAGACACGCCAGGAGGTATATTATAATGAAGAATATCTTGACCAGCAGCATTTACTGAGCAGATAGAATTACATCGTCTGTTGAGAGCCAGAAGGGTGTTAAGTGTGTATCAATAGATTCTCATCTGCCAAGTTGATGTTAAATTACAAATTACAAAACTACAAATGGAGTAGGAGTTCATACAGGGCTTGACACCATCTGATTATTGTGGTTGCCCTGTTTGTTTATCTTCTGTCTGTATTTCTTTTCTCCTTTTTAGCTTACAAGTAATAAATCATTTGGAAAGGAAAGTAAAGGAAAATTTAATTCTATCTCACATATATTTGACAAACTAAATTTTTAGGTCGCCTGAGAGAGTTAACCCATGAGACTACAATTTTGGTCTGGTGAACCATCAAAAGGTTTTTACCGGTCTCACTTGCGATCGGTCTCGTTTGCCTTCTGATAATTTTTCAGAAAGTCACTCACCAATCATTGTTGTGTTATGGGCTAGTCTTCTCTTGGGCTACAAAGCCTGTTGTACATGAGTGTAATGTGGTGTTCCAGCAACATTTTGTGATTTTGTTTACTTATTCCTGGTCCAAAGTCCACATATTACCATAACATCTGTGGTCCTTTTACTCCGTTGGTACTAATATACTATGGGCTCAGGCCTACATGTACATGTACAAATGTACATACTAAAGAATTGGCCAAAATGGCTGGGCGTTTGATTTTCTTTAAGAGATGTACATGTAATTGATTTATTGATATTTCATAAAATTCTATTTAAATTCAAAGAGATTGTTTCTCAAGGTGTATGTATATTATTGGAAAGATTATATTTTATCCTTTTGATAGTGTACTCATTCACCCAAACTGTGTAATTTTTTAATAAATAGGTATGGAAAGAGCATGCAAAGGGAAAACACAGAGTTAACAAATTTTGGTAGAATACTTTCAATGCTTCTGACCTTATTTTCAATGCTTATTTTCAATGATATTAGTGGTGTGTCGGGATTCGAACCCTCGACCTTCGCATCTCCGTCAAGCGCCTTAAACCACTCGACCACAACACTCCCACTAGTACGCACCCCTTTAATCATTCTACATGTTGCAATAATAGTTGCCACATGTTGCCCCAAAATTATCAATGGTTACAGTTTACTTGGGCAGCAAAAACTCAGCAATGATAGGGTGTGCAGAGATTTATGTTTTTGTGCAGTTTCTATTTTAAATAAGATTGGCTAATTAATGCAAATGCTGCTGTAATCTCATATCTTCTGGAAAACTGTTTTATGGAAGAGGAGCACTTTGTAATTAAAACGTGAGCACTGAGCTGCTGGCTTCGAAGCTTAACTAAACACTCCCTCATCTCTCGACTGCTTTGGATCACTTAGCACCAGACATGTATTCCAGCTATGCTAGTCTACAATTTCAAACTAACAAGTACATACAAAGGTCCTTTAAATAATATAATACCGGGGGTAGTTATATTTGAAAATTATGTTTTTGAAGTGACAAACACAATTTGTGTGTGTTTATTAATCATCCCTTGATTACATAAGGAAATACACATGTACAATTGTACATGTATGCATGAGCTCACACACTGTAAGCACTTATTGATCAGTAAATATGGTTATCAGCTTCTGGGCAGTTCACATGAGCAGTAACAGAATATTTGTTGTTTACTTTATCATGATGCGGACTAGTGTTATGTTTTGACTGATTAACAGAACTATTTGCAAGGTTATATGATATGCTCACCAGCTACATTATACTAATAGGACAATTTGAGAAATACATATTTTGTGCTTGCAAAAAGGCTTAAACAGCAAAAGAGTAAGCCTATCAGTAGCATAATTACCCAGAGAATTTGGTGTTTTGTAGGGTTTTACTTACAGCCCCTGCCCCCCCCCCTCCCCCCCCCCCCCCCCCCCCCGAAAAAAAAAAAAAAATGCCTATAAAAAAATATTTGAAAAATAATAAAGACAAAAATAAAATAAATGGAATGAATGAAGTAATGATAGTGAATAATATTTTTATGACCGAGGAAGCCAATATATTCCACATATTTTAAAATAAGAAAGAATGATGCTCTGCAATAATTAAGGTAAAAGGCTTATTTAGCAATCTTGTGGCTGTAAGTACAATGTACAATGTACTTGTACTGTAAGTACAATGTACATGTGAAACAAAATATGGATTATTTAATTGTTATTCAGTTATTGATACTTCCTGCTGATAGCTAATTAGCTACATGTATCAATATACACTCATAATGGTCTTTGATTGTAGACTAGAGTCTTTAATAACTGCAGTCACATTCTCACAATAACCAGGAACAGTGTGTGGTTGTATAACGATCTACATGCAATGGAGACTCTAATTAATTGTTATCTTTAAATACATTGTCGTATTCATTTAGAGTAATTGCTTTAATTTGTTAGGTGACAGATTTCAATGCACATTGTAGTAGCAAGCCAATGGAAGTGTGACTTTTATTTAAGACTTGTAAGTTGTATACAAGAAGGAAACAGCTATGATATTTGTGCACAAAATACAGATTGTAATTAAAAAAAGGTTATTGAATGTGGAAACAGTAAATCATCTTAAAACATGCTTTTGTTTCAATCTTGAATTATCACATTTTGAAATAACACATACACTGTACATGATTCTCAAAAATACAGTTTTTGTACACTTCTCCTTGATTGCTTGTATTTGCTACAAGCTACATGTACATGCCATAGAGTTTAGGCCTACTAGAAATGAATATATTTTTTGGGTATAATTATGTGGCTTGAGTTTCTATCATTTGGTCATGCATGTTTCAATCAGCTGAACCGTCCTTCTTTTTTGTAAATTGTTGTAGTTGTTTACAATTCATGAAGACGAGATATGCATACAGTGTATGCTTCAAATATAGATGTCGAATGGAATATTATGGGGGGAAAAATCCAATATTTCATTCAAATTAAGCAATTGAATGATGTTTGATGTACCTTTAAATAATCATATTGCATTTTATTTTGCAGGATTCCAACATCTTGTCAGCAACATTTCCCGGGTCAACTCAAGTGGCCTATATTCTGAGCCTCGGAGTGGTGGAAGGATACAGACGGAAAGGCATAGGTGAGTTTTTAGGATTAAAAATAGATTAAAACTATTCCATGTTTTAAAAAATAATATAATACTTAACAGATTCAGTACTTATAAGTTTGGTGAGCATCTGGAAATTATGTTAACCCTTTTAACTTAACCGCCCCTCCTTTTACGCACTTAAACGCCTGAAACCGCCTGTCCGTTTTCAATGCGCTATAGTATCTGTCCTAGGGTCTACCGTGATAATGTTATACATGCGTAATCCTTACAATGTCAACAGTAGGATTCTGCTTAGAAAAATAGCGCATGTTTCGTATTGTTCAGAACAATGTCAAAGTGAGAGCTATATTGCAACATCTTCCAGTGAATAATATGGAGAGAGAGAGAGAGAGAGAGAGAGAAAGAGAAATGAAGACAGAGGGAGACGTAAATGGGAGAGAGGGGGAGTGGCAAGAAACCTTAGTAGTGGAATAGCGAAATAAAGAAGAAGGGGTTAAAAGGAATGTTTAAGAAAAAGTTTTGAATGAATAATGGTTTCATTTGAAAAATATTTTGAGTGAAGTGGGCAAAGGAGTAATGCAGTAATGGAGAAACACACATAAAAATACTAATAGATGGAGATTAAGTTAGAAACCATAAAATGAAAAAGTTGACATTTATTGTCAAAGGGAGAATGAAATAAATGCCCACGCAGTCTGCATCATATTGTATGAACTCCCCTAATGATGCACATATATCTTGTGATATGAAAATGCAAGATACCGAAAGGGTCATTTTAGCACTCCATGAAGCCTGTGACATAATAAAAATGGAAATGAATGGAAAGTTGGGGTAACAAATGAATTGCTATGCAGAGCAACAAAGACCCTCAGGCATACCCAATTATTTGCTTGTCATATGAATATACAGAAATTTGAAGCTCTCTACACAATTCATTTTTTTAATGCGAAATGTGTGTAGGGTTATTTTCAGTTTACTGCATGTGCCAACGAGGCTTTAACTTGATAATTATATTTACATTTTGCTTGCCCTGCTTGGCATTTTGGAAAAACATGAGGTATTGAGTAATCGCTCGGTTGGCAATACCTCCCCAGATTCATGATAACATAATGCTATCCCTGTAGCTATGGTAACCGTCATACAAGAGCATGGGTATTTATAGATGAATGGTTACATGTTGGATGCCATAGCCATCCTTCCCCAGCCAAGGCTTCTATAACATCGCATATTCATTAATGAGGCCATTTTCTCAGTTAACATTTTAGCAAACATCCCTTTAGCAAGGTTTTGATAAAAAGTGGGCCTTGCGTTGCGGTACACCTAGATACTATATAATTTAAGTGCTGTACATGAAAAAGTGTAAATTAATGTAATTCTAGAATGGATGTGGATGACATGTTGCCTTACAATTTCATTTGAAAGCAGTTAATAATCAAATAAATTTGTCAAGGTTGAATTTGATGATAAGTGCATACTGTGCATCTTTTCATGTTCCCATCCGATGTGAGCTTTGCTAAAACATTTAAATGCGCTGGCTGTAGTTTTCGATCCACTCAATGTGTTTTCAGCCTTTAAAATATGTATTGTTTTCAGCCAGTCACCCATTTTCTTCTCCTAGGTCAAAAGAGCAAATACAAATTAAATGGGTTACAAGTCAAGGAAGCCAGGCTGGACACGTTTGAATAATACAGAGGGTATAACTTGACTATCTTATAAGTTCCTTTTTTTTGTGTACGGTACTATACAGTACAATACTGCATTTCCTTATATCATACACTTCCATGAAAGTAAGTAGTGAGCCTCATCTTAGACTTGTATCGCTTTCAGCCAGGCACCCATTTTTCCTCACCTGGGTCAAGAGAGTCAATACAAATTAAATGGGTTGTTCAAGCCAGGGGAGCCAGACTGGATACGTTAGAATAAGACAGAGGGGGATACCGTAAATCTCCGTGTATAAGGCGCACTTTTTTGCCGCCGAAAAAAATTGAAAGTCGGGGGTGCGCCTTATACACAGGTACAGAAAAAAAAAGTTTTTTTTTTTTTTTTTTTTTTTTTTTTTTTTTTTTTTTTAGTTTCGATTTATGGCGCTATGCCTGGCAATGTCTCCCAGCTCAGTAATCAGTGTGTTGACTCACCACTCGGAAACTACAACAACACTCAAATTTGTCTATCATCTTTGTTTGAAAGAAATCTTTCTAATAGATTTTAATATGTAGTTTATAATAATAATTCCTCAAATATTTTTTTGTATAGCAAATGGTGTTCCACAAGGTGCACCATTGGTACCATATGTACTCTTTTGTTTTTAATTTACATTAATGATCTTACACACTCTTCTAAAAACGACATTGTTACTATTATTTGTGACAAGTTCACAAGCACAAATCAGCGCCTTCAACTGCACCTCGATGTAAAATGAAGGTCCTTCCCCGCGTGGGTTTTCGGCAACAAAACAACAACAAACAAAAAAAAAAAAACGATTTTTTTTTTTTTTTTTTTTTTTTTTTTTTTTTTTTTTTTTTTTTTTTTTTTTTTTTTTTTTTTTTTTTTTTTCCCCCCCCAAAATAGGGGTGCGCCTTATACACAGGTGCGCCTTATACACGAAGATTTACGGTAACTTGACTTTCTAATATATTTTAGTGTATGATACTCTATGCATTTCCTTTTTTATATCATACACTTCCATGAGAGTATAGTAGTGAGGCTCATCTATAGGCATCTAAGGACTGGGCTTGAATTCAAGCATTTATATTAATGATTGATTATCATGATTGAAAGATAATTGGATTGAACTACTGCAGTACCCATACATGATCTCCGTTGAGGGTTGGGGATGGAATAAACGACGGCCTGATGACGGCAATCGTACATAATTTTATAACCAAATAGGATCTGGGTCAGAGTGGTTTATTCTGACTTCACAATGTAATCAGCATCATAAATTGACAGTGTAAATGTTGCTGAAGCACACAGATGAAAAATTGAGAAGGGTCAAGGGTCACTTCTGAGTCAACTACAATGCACAATTGCACATGTGTACAGACAATGTGAAGGAATAGTATAGTAATAATAACTGCGTTGAGAGACATACGGCTAGTTGTTTTTATACGCTCAGGGGGGGGGGGGGGAGGGGTTACAATCGTGCTATTGCCCGAGGCCTGCCGTGGGCAATAGCACGATTGTAACCTCCCCAAGAGCGTATAAAAACAACTGTGTCTCGAAAATTAAAGCAGTCATGACTACTTTTATAAACTGAAAAAAGAGTCAACTAATATGACACCACCTTGGCTTTACTCTAGTTTATCTGCACGGTTGATTTTTTATGAGTGTATCTTTGATAGTTAGACTAGTCTAGATCTAGCCTCTAGGAATCTATGTAGCATTTTCCCCAAGGCCTAATTCCTCACAAATTTTGAAGTTGTTGAGTGTCATACCATCAATAAATACCTAGAATCTATGCCGGATTTAGTAGTACGATCAACATCGCCGGTTGTCTTATTAAAAAATCTAAATATTAAGCGACCAATTCGCACACACAGTGTATAGTATCCGCGCTCGCTCAAACCAGATTTTAACACCTGAACCAATGGGTATTTCAGCAAGATTGAACTATTTTGCCGGGATTTTACTGATTTACTCTAGAACTATTACATAGTTTTGGCATTTTTTGTTTATTTACGGGAATGGCTAAAATTATGACTGCAATTTCGACCAATCAGATGGCTGGATTTCTTAAGTGAGGTATATAATAGATTTTAATCAAGTTGGAGAGGGCTCCAGATGACATATTTTAAGGTGTTTAGTAAGAAATAATCTTGGAAATTTGAAATGACAAACTTCAGTTTCTCTGAGGTGTTTTTCCTGCATTACTGGTTCAGATAGGTGATACAAGTATAATGTCTTATCAATTTTAATAGTTGATTGATTATATTGTTATAACAATTCATTGATAATTGGTGACAGCAATCTGTCATAGAAATGAACACTTTAGCAGCTACATGTATCAATATTTGAGTTGTATTTACACTTTTGTGATAACCCATTTTGTCTTATCAGATTATTAGCATTTAGTGTTCTTATTTATAATACCACATAACTGCCAAACCTTCCTATTTGGGAAGAATGATTCCTATTTTTGTTGGCCTTCAAACTAATGTTATGAACCCTGGATACCTCTCTCCTGAAAAACAAAAATTGTGATAAAAAGTATATACTGTAAAATGGACTGTATTTCTAATTTTGTCTTGAAAGACTCTGACTTTGCTTTTCATAGGTTGGCAGGTATAATATGCATACATCTAAACTTTTCAGTGATTTCTTATCTAAAATGGAATTGTGCAGAATTGAATTTTAACTTTTATTTTTTCATTCCATGACTCTTAAACACTAGGTACATGTAGGGTCTTTCAGAAGAAGATAAACTGTGCAAATTACCCTGTAAGACGTTTGTTTCAAGCAGAAATATGCCCATCACCAAAGCCAATATGATTTCTTGTTAAACAGGATAATTACCCAAACTTAGGTACATGTACCTTACAGATTTTTGATCAATGTACTCTTCTGTGATTTCCCTCTGTAGCCTCTGCACTCCTGGATAACTTCCTGACATCGTTGACCGCGGGACTCCGGCCCATTGCCAAAGCCGTCTACCTCCACGTCCTGGCCACCAATACAGGAGCCATCAGGTTCTACGAGAAGCACAAGTTCCAGCGTCATGAGTTCCTTCCTTACTACTACTCCATCCATGGCCAAGCGAAGGATGGACTCTCCTACGTGCTCTACATCAATGGCGGGCAACCTCCTTGGACGCTCATATATCCTTTACTCATCAGTCAGTCAGTTATGAGATTGTTTTTCCTGGGATGCATTAAAAAAATAAAGAAAAAGGAAATTTATAATTTATTCCTCCAGTGTATAGCTTTTATACTTTCATCACAAAAGCTTACCAGTACTAATTGGCCAGGAATCTTAGTTCAGTGGGGAACTAGTATGCACTGGAAGTGAGTTGTACAAAAGGGCTTCAGAAAACTACTCGGTCTAGACATTTGGTGACATAATGAGATAGCCAGGAAAAGTTTTGAAAGGCATGGGAATAGGACCACTGCAAGGCAGGGCCAGATCTTGTGTGGTCTTACATTCTTTTAAAAACAGGTACAGATTGCTTACCCTTTACAAATATAAATAGTACCGAGGAAAAATAATATTGTATTGGCAACAAGTAGACTCACATGTATTGATTTTTTTAAAGTTTGTGAATTCAATATAAAGGGATGGCTGCTGTCATCCAAAATTATTTTAATATCTTCTCGATAGCTTTTAGATATAAGGAGAGAGAAGCTCTCAATAATTTGAATATTACATGAAAGCTTCTGAAAACATTCTATTACCTTTTCCTTGACGGTCCAGCTTACAGATTATATGAAGCATGTCAGTTCTTACATCTCACGCATCCAACCGTGCAATCTGCCCCACGCCATGGCCCGTCACACGCGCAACTTCTTCTCCGCCCGACGCAGCTGGGTCCACATGCCCCACCTGCCTAACATGCCTAGCATGCCCAACATGCCCAACATCAACATGCCCAATATCACTATGCCAAACATTCTCTCCCGCATGAGAGGTCAAGGGTCATCGTCGACGGGTCCGTCAGGGTCATCGTCGGCCGGTCCGTCAGGGTCATCGTCGTCATCATCAGGGGTAGGAGACTGCTCAGACTCATCATTGTCCACTTCGTCCGTGGAAGCGGTGGCAGCAGTCGAAGAGGGAGCGGGGGCTTCGTCGTCTGGCGATGCTGCCTCATCTCCGGTTCCAGAGGTGGTCACTATTCCCATGCCGACTAGCGAGGGCGCCGAGCCCTCAAGCTCGAGTCGACGCAGCTGGTTGCCCAACAAGCTGCCCAACCGGTTGCCCAACCTGAACCGATCGATGCCTAGTATGCCTAGTATGCCCAGTATGCCGAGTGGTATGAGCTTGCTGACCAGGTTTGGTGGACAGTGCTACGACAGTGGAGAACAAAACGAGCCTGACGAACCACCAGAAGAGTACACCAATGCTGATCATAAGCTATAATCGTGGTCCTTTTTAACTACAAACGCCATCAAAATCAGGCAAACTATTATACAGCGGTGATGTTCCTCACAACTGGAATGTATGTGCTGTTGTGAGAAGATTGGTGGGAGTTGTTTTGTTGTACATGGAATATATCAGTGCTACTACCAACTGTGTTGAAACTGTTACATTGTCTTGGTGTAACATGTCATATGAAGGGAAGGATTAGAGAAAGTCTTCTTCTGTCACTACTCGGAGGTCAAAGGTCAATGATAGAGAAAAGAATATGCATAATATACATGTATATATATATAATATATATATAAAAAAGGAGTGCAAAAGGTGGTTATTCTTATTTAGAAGAAGGCAGCAACTTATCTGCTCACTTGTGTGAATACATGACGAGATGTGCACCCTGCATTTGAAGATGGAGACCAGTACAATGTACAATGAAGGAATGCAAAATTTTTGTCTCTGCCTGGCCACATTGAACATGTTATGCCTTCTGTGTCGTGTGACCAAGACTCCTATTCATCAGTGAGACGACTGCGATGAGTAGAATTCACCTTTTTGTAATGTGTACAGTAGTTCATGTTGAATTCTATACTACCGTAACTATTTTATTCATTGTGTATTGATAAAACATTGACAACTCTGCATTATTTCATTCTTAGTCCCATATACTAAAAAATCAGTCGGCCTTTAAATGCCAGGTTGTATCTGCTGACTTGATGTGCTTTTCTGCTCTATTCATGAATGATGTTATTACATTTGCAGTAAAATCTAATGAACAGTAAATAATCAACGTATTAAGAATTTTGTTTGCAACTTACCGTATGAGTTTTCTTTCTGTTTAAATATTAGATTCTTAATGAATCTGCCTCCTTTTTTTTCCCCCTCCTTTTTTTTCCCCCTAGTAATTTTTTTCATTCGATAATTGTGCAATTGGAGTCTCAATCTAGTCATTTTTAGTAGGGCTGTGCACAACAGTGTAATGAGGTACCCGAGTACACTCCCAGGCTCACAGGCGAATACTCGAGTATTCGGACACCATGTCTTTTTATAATTTTTTTTATTTTTTTTGAATTTTTTTGAATTTTTTTGAATTTTTTGAATTTTTTTGAATTTTTTGAATTTTTTTAATTTTTTGATTTTTTTTCTTTTTTTTCTTTTTTTGCCACTACCATACCACTCGGCAGTTTCTCAGGTCCCTCGCTGAAAACGCATGCAACTTTACTTTGAGTTGCAGTTGAAGGCGCCGATTTAATAAGAATAATAACAGTAAACAATGCTGTTTTAAAAACCAAAGATGGCAGAATAATCCATTTTCCTCCAAGTCCAAACAGAAATCTGGACATTTGGTCCCAGTTTCTGAAAGGTGAGTTTGACAGTTTTTTGCGGCCGAATATTCGGGTACGAGAAATCGTACCCGAGTAGTTGTCAACCGTGCGGGTACTCGAGCATTCGACTACCCGTCGCAGCCTTAATTTTTAGTAATAAAAAACTATCTCAACGTAGATTTAAACAGACATGTGGGACAAGTATCAAGTAGATAGGTTGAGAGAACTTTGTTTTCTAGATCTGTTTTACTTTAATATACATGTAAGAGGCAAATCCCTTATTGTAGAGAGATTTGGTTTTTAATGATATTCTGTAAGTGTGTGTGCGCAACTTTTTCACGAGACTGGGTAAATTTGTTTTCTGCCATTGCTTGACAGGTTGCTTAATTGCATTGAAACATTTGATTTATCACAGGAAGGGAGGAAACTACATGTACTAATACCTAATATATATTTTTTTCAGATTTCTCAAGGGCCTTGATTTTTAATTTCTTAGCATCAGTGATGCCTGAGGGCTCTCCTATTTTGACTAGAGTTTTTGCCCGTCCATGAGGAATAATCCTTGTCATGACTTTGGAGAATGCTCTTCAATTTTCAGTGGAAATGAATTACAGGGAAGCTAGGCCATTGAGGAACATGTTTATACAGAAAGAAGAAATACCAATTTGCATCTGAAGGAAACAGGGTCGAACATGTTAAAAAAGAAACATGAATATACAGCCCTGGATGTAATTTAACATCTGTCAGCATGTATCATCCAAGCAAGTCATTAAATTAATCCAAATTCACAAAGAGGCATGACTACGTTGTAAATGCAGTACATGTTATTGCCAAAGAACCACTCATGAAAGCTTATGAAATTGCGAACATTCTAGAGGACAGGCCCTACCTTTTCTTTTTCTTTACCTTTTTTTTTGCACAATAATATGTCATCATATGAATGGCAGTATATAAAAATATGGTTTCCCAACATTTATACATGAAGTACAGTAGTAGGATGTTAGACAGAAAAGCAAAGGAACAACTCATTGATTATTGTCAGATGAAAGCCAAAAGATCATTTTATTCTAATGTTTTTCTTTTTTTACCTAGAGTTAGCACCCTGTTAGCTCAGCTATCCAGACTAAATGTATTTTAATTCAAACTAAGAAATCATCTGTTTGGAGCCAGAAGGATGTTGACTCGTATACTTTAACACAGAGTTAATAATGCCCTTCTGGCTCTGAACAGACAACAAAAAAGAAGCTTCCTTACTCAGTGGGAGCCATCGTGCCTGTCAAAGTTATGAAAATAAGAATATACCCCTTTACAAGTTAAACCAATGTAGCTGTAGGATTGACGTTCCTGGCATGCCAAATTCATGTATGACACGAACTCTGCTACTACAGTGATGTATTTGCACACAACTTTGTGTGTATTTATGATCGAGGATGATAACAACTGTAAATAGAATTTGCATATAAAGGATTTTAATACTATTGCTTCATTCTAAAGGGAATGAAATAGTGGAGTAACAGTAATTTCAAGTATATGATAAATGAAGTGATAAATGTACCGTACTAGACATGAAGAGTAAATTGAAGTGACAGAAAATTAATTCAGGTCTGCATTTTTGCGTTGAGGTTTTTCGATGTTGTTGACTCAGTGTGATTCCTACTCCAGGGACCCGTTTCACAAAGCCTTTTTTCAATGAAAAATGACAAAAATCAGTGAGAAATTTGCTGATAACCAATCAGAAGCAAGGATTTCAGTAGCTTATAGCAAAAACTGTTATTTGTCACTGATGACAAGTTTTGTGAAATGGGGCCCAGGTCATATTAAAGAAGAATGATGAAGGAATGCTGATAGAGTTAAGTCTGAAAACATTTTGGTGTGCTTTGAAAATTACAGTATTACCCTGGTAGGCTGGCTTGAGAGTTGATATATAAAACGCTTAAAACATGCAAGGAATTCTCTACGCGTAGCCATTTACTACTAACGCTGACTTTAGATAAAAGTTAAAACAATTTTTCATTTGCCAAGCGCAGGGTCGATCCCCCTTTTTTCCTTTCCTCCCTTATTTCCTTCCCCCCAAAATATGGAAAAAAAGCTAAGAAATATTCACATAAATGTTCAGTTAACGCATTCAAAAATGCCTCAGAATGTACCATAGAGCATCTTAAGGTTCAACATTTTCGGCCTTGCAATTTCGTATATTTCATGCCCCCTCCCCCTGCCCTCTTTTGGAAAATCCTAGATCCCCCCCCCCCCTGAAGCTGAAATACAAAAGACAAACAATGCAAATGCAAATTTATGTTACAAAATTGTAGAGTTTGAAAATGTCAATAAGAAAGGGTTTATTTGAGAAGACAATGAACATTTATAGAGAGGAAAATAAAATGTTGAGAAGCATTTCCCACAGAACATTTCCAGGATATTTTAGTGTAAATATTAGATATTTTCACCATAACAAGTTTTTGATGCGCTAGGATAGGGAGGTGAATTTTTTAGTTTGCCAACTTCTTTGTATTATTGATATTTTGTTGGTGTTGTTGTTAGTTCATAACTTTTCATTTCATAGGTGCTTGCACTTTCTAAAGTGACACATTTTAGTAGTATTTTAAGTTGATATCGATATCGATATTATATAATTTTTTGATTGTCCATTCTTATCATCTTTATTTGATTTACACTGTAGTAGTGTACATAAGTGTACCGGATAAAACAGATAACATTTCTTTTTTAAATTATTGTTAGCACTCATGTCATACCTAGGCTTTAGCATGGCTGTCATTAAATGGCGCTCTAGCATTTCAAGAAATTAATTCCTGCCATGTACTCTTTTACCTCACCTGGGTCGAGACTCGAGAGTGGCAAATGAAGATTAATGTCTTGGCAAAGGACATTAGTGCTTTGGCAAAGAGATTCAAACCCCTTTGGATGCAGAAGATTCTGTGTCAAAATGTTGATTATTCCTTGTGATTTTGACGGTCGTTAGCTGTAGTGATTACAGCAAATATGCTATTTCTAAATATCGTGCATCAACAAGTAGCCGGAAATTGGGATTGCCAATTTGAATAAACTATTGTTTATAAAAAATTAAAAAAACATTGCATATTCAATGTACAGTGTCCTTGGGTCTGGATGCCATTGGAGAGCCAGTGTAATTATTTTTTTTTAATGAAGGAGGAAAAAATGCTGGTCCCCTGAATGATATTTTCAGAAAAAAATTGTTATAAACTGGAGAGGATGTAAAATGTATATAATGTTTTGCTAATAAGTATGAATTGAAATATTAGTGCTTCTTGATTGTATTTTCAACTTTTTATAATGTCATTTGAAGTATATTACAGTAGAACTTCCAAAGATTGAAGTATATTTGTCTATGAATAGGATATGAGAATATTAACAGTAGGTGAATAAAGTGATGAACTGATTTTGTAAATGAGATAAATATATATATATTGTAAAAGTAAGAATGTGCTTTTGTAAGAAGCACAGATTGTTATAGATTTTGTCCATGTATTGGGACCATTTGATGTTTAATAGTCATGAATCTTAGATTATTCCTTCACTATCTCTAGACTGGAGAAATTGTTTGAATAATCATTTCTTTTCATGCACTATCTTAGTGTATTTTTTTTTGCACAACACACAACCTCAGTCCCCCTCCCCTCTCTCTATCTCTCTCTCTCTCTCTCTCTCTCTCTCTCTATTTAACTCTTCTCTCTCTCTCTCTCTCTCTCTTTTACTATTTCTCTCTCTCTCAATTTGATGTGTTTTCTTTTACTCTCTCTCTCTCTCTCCTGTGTCTCTTGCTCTTGCTCATTTTATTCTGCCGAATCTCTTCCTTTCCACTATTTTCTTCTCTTTTCTACCTTCTGCAATCCACTGTCCTCCTACTCCCCCTCTTCTCTCTCTCTCTCTCTCTCTCTCTCTCTCCATATTGTCTCGTCATATTGATACCGAGGCAATGTGGTATATTTTTGTTGATGTTATTTTTGCTCGGTCATTAGAGAAAAGTGACATTGCTTTTTAAACAGGGTGCGCTATTGCAAAGCTACAATCTGTCCTCTTTAGTCTACAGTACCGGAAGTGCATAATATCATTTGAACAAGTTGAAATGTATGTCGGCAATCTGAGATATATTAGAAATAGTTCAATATTAATATCTATATTTTTGGTTAGCACAGTTTAATTAGCAACCAGATTGATGGTCAGTTCAGAAAGTTTACAATTATTATTTTTATCTCAGTATTATTTTGCTGTTATAGTCTGCAAGAAGTTTATCACTGGGATAATGGAAAATGTGTAAATCCGTCACATTACAAACTGTATTTGTGAATTCAGGTTCAATTTCCATAAGAATTTAGCTGGCGTGTGATTTTCTGTGTTTTTCAGCAGAGGTGTTTCTATTCATATTTTTCTCTATATGCATTATATGAAATAAGTTGAGAAAAGCTTGGCAAGCTGAAATGCAGAAGGATGTTCATCTATTTCGAGAGGACTTGAGATCTCTTGGCTCTCATGCCAAGACATCCATCTCTAATCACACTTATTATGCCCGACAGCAGGTATGTAGGGGCGGGTTTGTTTAATTTCTATATTAAAAATTATCTGAAAATGTCATTCCATAATACTTGGA